TTTGCTCAAAAGATAATATACAATTAAGGATATGGTGTGTTTGTGGGTGAGAATCTCTTTTGACCTCTAGAGGTTGGTGAAATGAAAGTAAAAGAGTTGAGGATAGCATCAGTGCCCACTGATGGTAAAGATATCTAGTGCTCCTTTTCTTTCAAAATTACATTGCTATCATTGCCGAAGAGGCTACAGGATGAAACATTCCAGTATACAACAGGCTACAAATGCCCTGTAGGTAGAATAATTATTTTTTCGTATCATAGGCTTCCACAAAAAAGGTGGTCGTAATTGGCACAACTTTACTGACAAGTCTCTGTATGCTACAGTAGCTTTCAGATCATTTGTCTTCAAATGATAACATTGTCAGTACCAGTATTCCTATTTTAGAATCCATAAGCATGCAAGTGAACCGACTTTATTTTGTAAACTGCCCAGAGTCACTCATTGAGTGAGATGAGCAGTGACTAAATTTGAAATATAAATGCATAAATAAAAATAAATAAAACTTCAAGTAACCACTTGGCTATGGCACTCATTGAGTGACTTTGGATCAGTTGTAGCACAAGCTATCTCACGAGGAATAATAAAATAAGCAGAGAACTTCTATGTGTTGCAGAATGTTGTTATCTAGCAAAGATATAATTATTGTTGTATAGTTACACATGGCCAGGAAAGGATGGTCAAGATGTTTTTAGAGAGATGTCTTGCTGATTTTCCTGCTGGTAAACTCTTCCTAGGCTTTGAAAGAATCATTGTCTAGTATGTCTGTAACTGATATTTAGAAATAGGAATAGTGATAAATAAGAGTAGAGATGTCTGTCAACTACTTGTTTGTTATGAATTGGTCAAGTTACTTTCTATTGGCAGAATGTGCAGCTTTTACAGCATCAATGACCCTCTCAAAACTATACTTTCTCTCTGTTAGTGTTTGTTATAGCTCATTCAACATTTGTTGAGAAACTGATGTATTTTTAGGTTATCTTCTGTTCATGGACTATTGTGGCCTGAACTTTTCTCACAGTATGAGATGTTTATGAAAATTTGTGAATAGAAATGCTACTAACTTCGTAAGTTTAGGCAGCTTGGGGAAGGGAAGTTCAAGGCCAAGTCCTATCCTTTTTCTTTTGCTATTTGTGATATAATTTTAAATCTGAATGAGGTTGTGATCTGGGGAGTCCCTTTTTTCTTTCCTATCTTCTGTCCCTATTATCCTGTATAGGTTCTTTGAAATGAGATTTCAGGTGGTTTGATTGATAGCTCAAATGGATAGAACCTTTTAAGAAAACATATTTTCTGTCTAACACTGCAGTATTGTCTGAAGTATATGCAGTATTGTCTTTTATATAATGGAAAGCAATTTCATCTGATCAAGATGCAAAAGACATTGCTTCCTGTAGATTAGTAAAACATGTGTTTCACATTCCAGGTTTGTGTTGAATGACTTGTAGACAAAGATGACTGAAATTCTATTAGGATTTTGAACTTGACCCTAGAAATTTTGTTAGAATCCCTAGTTATCATTAGTGAGATTTCATGTGGTAATTTCTAATACTGTTTAACTACTTCATGTGACAAAGGTTTGATATAGCTTCTAATCTATATCTTCTCTGTCTTGCTAAAAAGCATTATGGGAAAACGTAATGCAAAAAAAGACATGATGAATAGTGGAAGTCAATATCTGTGGGCCCATCTGGTGATGACCACAGCATATAAAACTTTGCTACTTGGAATAGAAGAGGAGTACATGGTAAAGAGCATGAATTAACAAATGGAATGAAAGAAAAATAGATAATTTTGTCTATCAAACCAAGAAAAGGAGAATGGTGTAATAGAACTGAATGAAGGTTTAAAATGAAATTGTTGAATATATAAAGGAAATTGAAGACATGGGTTTGATTATGAATAGAAAGCTAAAATGAACATGAGAAAATATTACTTGATGTCATGTAGGTTGTTGTGAGTTTGTATGAAAGTAGGAATACATAGGTTGATGATAGTTGCATGTTATGTTCCAGTGAATGGTGGGAATGGAATAATCAGAGATGAGTTTTGGGGAAGAAATGTGCAATGTTCAGAATGAATACAATCCAAGGAATGAAATTATTTTGCTAGGTGACATGAATGGATAGTTAGGAATGAGATGAGAGAGTACAGAAGAAGTGATTGGGTCATTGGAGAAATAATGGGAACAGTGAAGCATTTGCTTTAAAAGGGTCTGTTTGTTTTGAATCTGTGTTTTAAGCCCGGTCATATGGATGCATGGCAAAGGAATGAATATTCTAAAAGCATGATTGATTTGTTGAAAGATTGAGATAATCAATGAAGGATACAAAGGAACTAAAAGATTCTTTTTTTAATAATGATTTTTATTGAAGTTTAAAAATACAAAGATAAAAAACCAATACAAACTAAGAAATATATAAAAAAGGGAGAAGAAAAAATAAAAAGTGCAGAGAGAAAAAAAAGGGGGGGAGGGAAAATATAAAGAAGATATAAAGATATATAAAGATGGACATAACAGGGCATGTGCATCACTGCCTGTGCTGCTGCACTCTGACCAGCTGTAGCTTCTGAGTGGTCTTCAAGGGCAGCCCCATATAGAGCGCATTAACAGTAATCAATTCATGAGGCGACTAAGTCATGAGTGACTGTCTAAAGAGCCTCCCAGTTCAGGAAAGGGCACAGCCGGTCACTAGATATATGTGTACAAAGGCCCTCTTGGCCACAGCTGTCACCTGCTCTTTGAGTGGGAGTTGTGAATACAAGTAGTTTACACACTAGTCTTGAATAAGGAACTGCAACCCCACCCAAGACCAAAGATGGAAAATCCCTGGACCCGGGGACCCCAAATGTCCATAGCCACTCAGTCTTGTCAGGCTTGAGCTTGAGTCTGTAGCTCCCCATCTAGACTAGACAGGACCTTGACAGCATCACTTTTGACATATATTCACTTTGATTGAATGTAACAAGAAGAAAGAATAACCCTGAGGAAAAGGAGGAAGAGCTGCAACCAAGATAGTGATCAGATAAAAGAAATCTGAGCCTGGGCCAGAACTGTAACCTGAGTAAGCATCTCAGACAAGACCCTCCCTAGTTTTCATGAAAATAAAGAGAGGGAGGAGGGAAGTGTATTCAGACTTGCAAGATTCTGTCACCATAACTTTACAATAAAAGTAGTATTAGCATTCATGATTTTGGTTTCCTAGCCTGGTCTACCTTGAAGGGCTGACATTGAGATGTATAGTTGGGTATCATCAGTATACCTGACCCTGAACCAACAGATGACCTCACCTGGTGGTTTCATGTAGATGTTAAACAGAACATCTTGTCAAAGAAAGGAGGACAGTCACAGCAAAATAGCAATTCTCCCAAACCTCACAGCTGATTCAAAAAGATACCATGATCAACATTATTGAAAGTCGCTGAGAGGTCAAGGAGCATAAGGATGGATGCACTACCCCATCCTGGTTCTTCTGCAGGTCATCAACAACAGCTAATGTTGTTTTCATAGTGTAACCTAGCCTTAAACATGAGTGAAACAGGTCCAGATAATCTTTCTCCTCCAGGATCCTCTTGAGCTGAAGCCCAACCACCTTCTCAGCAACCTTCCCTAAAAAGTGAAAGTTGGAGATTGGACGGAAATTGTCCAGGATTGTTGGGTCCAGCAATGACTTCTTGCAGAAGGGGCAGGCCATTGCTTCCTTTGAGGTCAGGGGCACAATCCTCTCCCTCAAAGAAGCAAATACTACTGCATGGACCCAACCACCAGTCACCTCCCTGGTGTCCTTAATCAACCAGGAGGGACTCAGAGCTAACAAACAGATGGCTGAGCTCACAGCTTAGAGAAACCTGTCCATTTCTTCAGGAGACACAGCTGCATACTTTCTGCAGATAACCATACAAGACTGCCTCAGGTACTTCCACTGGACCTGTGTCTCATCTCTCCACAGTAGACAGGCGGCTATTGGCAGATGCACTATTATGTTGCCACCCTTATTTCCACTGTTTAATCCTGAATATGGGCTCTTACTCCTATTTGATCAGACTTGCTCTTTGTCTTCCTCCAGTGATTCTCCAGATGTCTCTTCTGGCACTTCATCTCCTGGAACCCCTCAGAGAACCAAGGCATAGTCAGGAATTGGTACACAGGGGGAGGTTACACAGAAGCAAACTGGTTCAGGGTGTCAGCCACTTGCCCATTTCAGGCGGTGACAAGGCCTCAACCAAACTGTCTGCCAGGTCCCCAGGGAAAGCCCTAAGCTCTCTTTCAAACTCATCCAGGTCCATCAGTTTCCTGGGGCAGACTAACCTAGCAACAACCTTACCCCCTACCCCTTTTCCCCCATTTTTAATCTCATGCCTTTGATTTCTTTATCTTTTATTTTCTTTCTTTTGTTCTTTCTTACTCTTATATTCTGCATAACATTGCTTACCTCAACAGGTAACAGTATGATGTGTTTATATGTGTGAATCATTGTTATCATTGAACCATTAGCTGCCGGCATATCCTGGATAGAAATAGAATGTGAGACTTCTCTTTGTTTTAAAGCAATCAGTGATTTAAAAGTTTGAGTAGATTTTTGCAAGACAGCATAGCCATGAATATCCAGTCTTAACTTTGGCATTTATGCTGCTAGGTTACTTGCTCTTTCAAGTCTCTTACATCCCTTTCTAAGCAAGATGCTATAATATAGGACTGCTCACTAACACTGGTGAACAATTACTGTATGAATTGATTTTTTAAAAGTTTTGTTCTTTAGTAGTTTAAAGGCATTTCTAATTTCTGTTGCTCTTTTCAAGAAACACATGTGAGAGTGTATTGCAACAATTGTGTTAATTACATACAAGTTGCCAGCTAAGTGAAATATATTTTAATAGTTTTTACAGAGGACTTAAATGAGTATAGGCCGTACCAAGGCTGCTGATACAAACATTTTGGTACTAGTTATTTCAAAGTTGGTACTTTTGGTAACGAACTCTTGTCTCTGTCTTCTCTTTTTCAGAGTTACATATTTTTAAGTACTCTAAACACCTGGCTACAACAAGGAGAAAGAATATAGCTATTATTGAATGAGGAATCTGTTGCTTCAGTAGCCTTTTTCTTCTAGAGTGGGTCTTTGAATGAGGATGACAATGGAAGAGATGAGGAATGAAGCAGAGACCACTTCTATGGTTTCCATGCCTCTTTATGCTGTTATGTATCCTGTCTTTAATGAGGTAATAGGTTCAAGTTCATTTTCTTTGCATTATAGTACTTGGAAAAGAAAGTTTCTTTAACTCAGCTACTATCCTGCTTATGTTAATATGTTCATATATTTGAACATATACAGTGGGGCAAAAAAGTATTTAGTCAGCCACCAATTGTGCAAGTTCTCCCACTTAAAAAGATGAGAGAGGCCTGTAATTTTCATCATAGGTATACGGTATACCTATGATGAAAATTACAGGCCTCTCTCATCTTTTTAAGTGGGAGAAGTGGTATACCTATGATGAAAATTACAGGCCTCTCTCATCTTTTTAAGTGGGAGAAGTGGTATACCTATGATGAAAATTACAGGCCTCTCTCATCTTTTTAAGTGGGAGAAGTGGTATACCTATGATGAAAATTACAGGCCTCTCTCATCTTTTTAAGTGGGAGAAGTGGTATACCTATGATGAAAATTACAGGCCTCTCTCATCTTTTTAAGTGGGAGAAGTGGTATACCTATGATGAAAATTACAGGCCTCTCTCATCTTTTTAAGTGGGAGAAGTGGTATACCTATGATGAAAATTACAGGCCTCTCTCATCTTTTTAAGTGGGAGAAGTGGTATACCTATGATGAAAATTACAGGCCTCTCTCATCTTTTTAAGTGGGAGAAGTGGTATACCTATGATGAAAATTACAGGCCTCTCTCATCTTTTTAAGTGGGAGAAGTGGTATACCTATGATGAAAATTACAGGCCTCTCTCATCTTTTTAAGTGGGAGAAGTGGTATACCTATGATGAAAATTACAGGCCTCTCTCATCTTTTTAAGTGGGAGAAGTGGTATACCTATGATGAAAATTACAGGCCTCTCTCATCTTTTTAAGTGGGAGAAGTGGTATACCTATGATGAAAATTACAGGCCTCTCTCATCTTTTTAAGTGGGAGAAGTGGTATACCTATGATGAAAATTACAGGCCTCTCTCATCTTTTTAAGTGGGAGAAGTGGTATACCTATGATGAAAATTACAGGCCTCTCTCATCTTTTTAAGTGGGAGAAGTTGCACAATTGGTGACTGACTAAATACTTTTTTGCCCCACTGTATGTTCAAACAGTCCTTGTGAGTTCTGCTTGTTGGCATTCAATTCTTTAATTCTGAGTATTGTTTTCTGCAGTTATAAACTCCCAAGATGCATTCCAGCATTACACAAGATTCTGAAATGTAAACTTCATTGTTTAATTAATATTCTAGATTAAGGCAGACATATTGTATAAGGTGGAAAATGTTATGCTTCTTGCAGCTACCTGGTTTTACAGAAATGTTTTCTATTAAACATTATAGAATCTTTTTTTTTAGATGAGAAATAAGAAAATAAATTTGTTTAGGCTTTGAACAAATTAAGAAGAGATGGTCTTTCTTTGGTAATTTACCAAGAAAACTATACTCATAGAAATGATGCAATTGTTACAGATTTATTTTGAAAGATAATCTTGTTCAGACTGTCTAAAATAAAAAAAATAAAGGCTATGTTTTTAGCTTGTGCTCTTCTCTCTCCAAAGCACAGTTATTCATGTTTAATATTTTGTTTTGCCTGACCCCTGTATCGTTAGTACATAGGCAGATTTTATAAGGGCATAATCTGTTGTAGAAACATTTATCTGTTAAAGTATCTGTTCATACCTTCCAAATGTGTGGATTTAATCTCCCCAGAATTTTCAGGAATATCCATGCTGGTTGGGAATTGTAGTCCACACATGTGGAGACACAAGTTATAGAAAGCTGTTATGGCAGAACAAGATGACAAAACTTTTTCAGATTTAAAATTATTTCACAGATTCATTTTACTGGATATGATTATTTTCTGCTTATAAGGGGCTTGTGCTATTCTTGTCTGAAGGACACAGCCCGAGTGTGCTTGAGCTGAAAAAATCTTATCCAGGTTAGCAAAAATCCTTAGAAATATTATCAGTAGTGATAATGTATTTTAATATCTTGTTTACTTTGCTATAATTGTTTATTCCTATTTCTTGCAGCTAGAACGAGTAAATCTATCAGCAGCTCAAACATTGAGAGCAGCTTTTATTAAGGTGAGAATGATGTATATATAATTATATACACTAAAATATTAGTATTTTGTATTAAAATATAAATATTAAATTATTAATTGTAAAGCTCTGCAAAATATTTAGTTACTAATCCTAACTTGAAATAACATTACTGTTTGTCTGCTCTAATTAACAAGTGTTTAATCACTGAGTTTATTTGTATACCTTATTTTCCAGAAATAGATTATACACAAAGTGGATAATAGCTTAACATTAATTTAAAGAATATACTTCAGTTATAATATTAACTCAGTGGTTATGGTTCATTTATGTTTATGAAACTTAAATGGATATAACACATGGGAATAGGTAAGTTAACAACATCTAATAACAACATCAATGTTATATTTCACTTAAAGCATTTCATTGAACATTCACATTAAGAGGTTCAACACTTGGTATCCATGTTCATTTTAAATTATGATTAGGTAACAGTAAAATAATCTGAAGACATTTAAGCATCAGAGAGATTCTCCTTTTCACCTAAGTCCTCTGTGCTGACATCCTCATAGTACTTCTCTTGGCAATGAAGCTCCAGGAAAGAAACAGTGGGAAAAGCCCCTTCCTCGGACATATATGTTCAGTAAAAGTTATAGTGCTGAAGGGATCACAAAACTTCTTCACAAATGCTCTCAAACATGTACATACCAAAAGCTTAATGATGAAGATGGTGATGTGGCCTTTGAAGCTCAGTATTAAAAGATGGAGGACATTTAAAAGCTTCTCACCTTGGTGTTTCTCTTACGCTTCAGTGATGCAAGAGACATCAACTAGTTTGTTCCATTAGGTGGCCTGAGTTTCCTGTTATCAACCAACTCAGGGAGGGTTAACAGTTGCTGGTATAGGATAGTCTAACTCTGACCTGCATTTGTTGTATATTATTAAATAGTATCTTGACATTGTTTGCCCGGTCAGAAGCATGTTAGTTGAAAATAGAGTTTCTCTAATTTATAATTGAGAACAATTAAAATCATTTTAATCTGTCTCCTAAGTAAAAGAAAGTCTTAGCCCATAGTTTCTTGTTATTGGTTGTGTGATTGAGTTTTAGTATTTCATCTTCTTTTTAAATCTGAAAAGTGAGTATTCTAAAAACACTCTGAGATGTTCCTTGAAAAAGGAACATGGAATGTAGAAAAACTAAGGTTTTGTGGCATCTGTCTGTCTGTCTATCTATCTATCTATCTATCTATCTTACCTAAGTTATGGACAGCTTTTAAAAATAATTCTGGTAATAGCTCGAAAAATAAATGAATACAGTGAAGATTATTGCCTTTCTTAATTTTATGTACCTCACGTAATAAGGGAATAAAGACAAATATATAAAGCTGTACCTTTTTACAGGTAGTCCTCGAGTTACATCCATTCATTCAGCAACTGTTCAAAATTACAATGTTGCTGAATGAATGGTAGTCATGAGTGGTCCTCGAAGTTTTAGCCATTGCAGCACCCCCACAGTCATGTGATCAAAATTTGGGTGCTTGGTAACCGACCCACATTTACAACCGGTCGCAGCATCCCATAGTCACAATCTCCTGCCCTTTCCAAACTGCTTCTGCTTCAGTTCCCCCCACCTGCCTATCTACCCCCCCATCTCTGCCCTTTTGGCTGCCCAACAATCCACCGCCTACCCCTGCCACTCCCAGCTGACCTTCTTCCTCCCGCAGCTGTCCCAGGTTGCAGGGATTAGATGAGGGCACAGCCCCAGGATGTGCAGGGCGAGCGCGGCAGGGAGGCCGAGCCTCGTCTGCTGAAGGGAGCTCACTGGACCCATCTGGGGAGGAGGCAGTGGGAAGAGGTGGCAGAGGAAATGGGGCAGTGGTGCAGGTGGAGGAACCTCATCTTCTGCTGACACAAGGAGTGATAGCCTGCAAACTGTGAAGAGCACAGTGACACAGGTCAGAGAGGTGGCAGCAGAAGCTCCCTGGGCGAAGGTGGCAGCTGTGCAGGAGGTTCTGTTCACGTTGGCAGTGGAACTGGAGGAAATGGAAGGACAAGAGCTTCCTGGAGGTGCAGCACGTACTCTGCAGCTCATGTTGGAAGCCACTGGCCCTTTACAAGGCCTTGCAGGAAGAAGACTGGGCTGAGCGAGCAGATGGCCTGTGGATAGGTTCTGTTGATACTAGGATCACCTCTACCTCTGTGAAGCCTGCATGCTGGTTTTCCAGGAGCACTTCCAGCACAAGCTGCAGAGCACGCACTGCGCTTCCAGGAAGCCGTTGTAACGCTTCTGGAGAACTGGAGGGGTAAAGGTGAGCCTAGCACCAACAGAGCCTACCCACAGGCCCTCTGCTTACCCCCAACAGCTCTTCCCACACAGCTGCCACTTTCAGCAGGAAATCCACTGCTGTTGACTCTCTGGCCTGTCCCACTGTGCTCTGCATGGTCTGCTGGCTATCGCTCCTCATAGTGGCAGAAAACAGAGCTCTTTCACCCGTACTGCTGCCCTGCCTCCTCTGCCGGTTCCGTCCCCTGCCTCCTTCTTGGTCGGATCCAGTGAGCTCCCTTTGGCAGACGAGGTTCCACCCCTGCTGCTCTTGCTGTGTGCAGCCCAGGGCTGTGCCCTCACCCAGCACCTGGATTCTGGGCCAGCAGCAGGACGAAGATGGTGAAGTTCAGATGGGGCAGCAGCTGGGGGGTGGCAGAGGTAGGCGGCAGAGTGCAGGTTGGCCAAAAGGGCAGAGATTGGAGTGGGAGATAGGCAGGTGGGGAAAGTTGAAGCAGTTTGTACAGGGCAGGAGAAGCGTGAGGTCCTCACTTAATGACTGCACAGTCCTTGCCTAACAACTGCAACCAAGGCTGCCAGAACTGCTGTCACTAAGTGGCTCAATCACATGATGTTTTGCTTAAGAACTGCTTCGCTTAGCAACTGCAATTCCAGTCCCAATTAGGGATTGTAAGCTGAGGACTACCTGTATTTCAGTTAGCGTGAAAGATAGAAGAAAAAGGAATGATGCACAGAAATAAGTACTGCAAAGAAATTAAAGAAAAGGTTAATTGGGCCAAGTTACTGGTGAAAAAATATCAATTGAGTTCAAGAAATATGGCCTTTACTTTGGAGGAGAAAAGGGCAGTGCAAAATCAAATGTTTATGATAAGCCAGTTCTGCTCAGTTGTCTTTTAAAAATTCATATTGTAGCTTTCTTGGAAACTGTTTTCGGCTTTCAATATGTCAGAAGAAATCTGAAATCTCTTCTTTTAAATACAGGCAGAAAGGGAAAATCCAGGTCTCACACAAGATATTATCATAAAAATTTTGGAGAAGAAAAGTGTTGAAGTTAATTTTACCGAATCTCTTCTGCGCATGGCAGCTGATGATGTAGAAGGTATTTCCTGTTAATGGCTGTTTGCTCATTGGGTTTAGATGGGTTTATTTAAAAAATGATTGTTATTTCTGTTTTGTTCATAAAGCTGAATTTCCAGATTATCACTTCAATCTTTATACTTAACCTTATATATTGTAAATTATATATTCTTGGTGATATTTCTTTTGGTAATTCTTGTAGCTTGGTGACTCTGTACTAGTCTTACTTGAGAGAGACAGAAAACAAGAAGACATGACGTTCTAACTTTTAAAAAAGATCATAGAGTAGAATATGGCACGGGGATAAAAGTTAAAAAGGGCGAATACAAAAAAATTGGGTGGAGGACATTTCTGGGAATGGAACAGAATGTATGTCTAGCCAATTTCCTATAGGCCTCATCAGTAGTCTACTTTACTCAAAAATAAGATCCAAACCTCACATTATTAAGGAACTTGGAGGCTTTGGAAAGAAAAAAATGTTTATTTATTTATTTAGATGCAATTTAGGAGATTTAAAGGTTCAGTTTAAATTCATGTCATGCACTTGCTTTAATGACTCTGAATGACCCTCATGTACTTGGAGTACTTGTCATACTTGTGCTTTAAGAATATTGAATTACATTGTTAAAAATAAATTGTCTTTTCCTTAAAAAATGGAGAGTTGGGATTAATTTAGAGTTCAGTTCTTGTGTATTGCTTGTTTTAATTTTAGCATTGTTAAGGATGTTGTCAAATCTTTTAAGTTTAATCTATAACTTACTTAGAAAAGAAATCAATTCATATTTCTTCCTTTTCTTCCTCCTCCCCCCAGAGTATATGATTGAAAGGCCAGAGCCAGAATTCCAGGACCTCAATGAAAAGGCACGAGCACTTAAACAGATTCTCAGCAAGATTCCAGATGAGATCAATGACAGAGTGAGGTTTCTTCAGACAATCAAGTAAATTCTATTCACAGTAAAAAGCTATTCTGAAATGTGACTTCTTCACCTAGCTGTGGCTTGGTGGAATTATATTTTGGCTTGCACTGTAATGCTGAGTATTATTGATATTTTATAAAATTACTGTTTTTGTTTCACTGAGTTTTTGTTTCAAAATGAATGCTTGCTTAACTGTTGAATGGTCATGCTATATGTTGGTTTTAGTTGCTGGAGTAATAACAGTGGATATTATAGCTAGACCAAATTTGTCAGTGATCTCTATTCCATGCCCTTTGTAGTTAAATCCTTTTATTTCTAACAAGATAATCCTGCGGCAATAATGCTGCATCAGATCTGAAATCTCATAAGTTATACTGGTGAGTAAATCCCTCTTTTATAAGTCACATTTTCCAGTCTTCTCTCACCTAAAATTGCAGTGCTTGTGGATCTTATTCCCTGTTGCTCAGAAATTTTGAACGTGCTTTGGATATTGAGTTGCCTGTGCCTATTTGGGAGCTTTTTTTTTTCCTTTTTGGTTCGGAAAGGGAGATCATCTATCTTAAAGTCTTTTCCTTATGTGCAGTGCTGTACTTCTCTTAATGAGTACTTATGGAGGTTTGCTCCTTGGTAATTCGGATAGATAGATCTGTTGGTGCACATAATGTTTTAAGAATTACCATAAAACAAATGCGTGGGTCTCCTTTCACATTTTGGATTGCACCACTGTCCATAGTTTACTGAGTTTTCAAAGCCAAAAAGCATGAAGCTGATGCTCAAAGTAGCTATGCCATCCAGGAGCCCATTGTATATAATTGCATAAAACTGAATCATTAATTTTAGCTTAATTTCATTTGTTGGGTTAAGATAAGGATAATATTAATTTTCAGAAATGTCCTGATTCTTTTGTTCAAGGTGGATAGTAAGACTGCTAGAAAATAAAATGACACATGTACTTTATAGTATTCTTAGAATAAGAACTCAATTTTTTTCATCTGTGACATTTTAGTAAGCCATGATAATGGCCACAATCCAGAAGATTAGAGACATGCTGGACAAACCCATGCTCACATCTGAGTTTTATCTAAAGTTGTAATGGCAAGGCTTTCTTCCTGAAGTTCAGTTCTTTAGGATCCAATTTTATAAAAGGGAGATGTCTATGTGAGTTCATTGCTTCTTTGGAACTTTGTGTAGAAGGTCATAATGTAAAATACAGAATTTTAGAATGATTTCAGTTATTAGCTCAGATGCCTCATTTGTGGAATTTTCATACTCCATATGCATTGTTATAGAATTTAAAGGTATTTTGCAATGTAGCAATGGAAACAACCCTGTGCAAAGCTTAATATGGAAATTAACGGAGACCTATAGAATTATTACTTAATTGTCTGTTGGCTTATTTATTTATTGTTTCTTTTTATATGGTCACCCACTCACCATGCAACTCAGGGCAGCTAGCAAAAAAATTAAAAACAGCAACTTTTTAAACCAAAATTTTAAAACATTGTGCCAAAGGCAATTTGTACATTTAAATAATTGAATGTATGGGCTCACATAACCTCCTCACCCATTTACTGAGATTAGAGTCAATCTCTATAAACGTTAATTGTTCTTAGGGTTATTTTCATATAAATATCTTCTACAAAGACTGCTCCATCCTTTAATAATACATGGAGAGACTTTCTACCTTACCAATAGTGGAACAAAATGCAAATGGTTACATATTGGAGTGAAATACTCATGTATGTACATTTGGGGACTCAGGGTTCATCTCCTGGATCCAATTTAAAAAGTCCTTGGAAAATATTAGTTTTGATCAGAGGACAAACGTTTCTTTCAGTCATAAAACAGAGATACCGATATTAATATAGACATCTCCCAAAATGATCACCAGTCCATCTTGGAGGATGTTCAACAAATAAGAAGGCAGGCAGGTGACAACTGACAACTGACACACCCTTGAGACTCAAAAGACAGCCAACCATGGTATAAGATTTTCCCAAACCCTGTTTTTAATTTAGCAGTGGGTCTTGGGTTCCATAGCATTTTTTTTTTAAGTTGAAATTATAGACTTCTGAGAATTGTATTCTCTAGGTAGATTAACTGACTTTTCTCTCTTAAATGATTTCTCTCTCTTACTCCAACACAGGGTGGTTTGGTCTCATTATATTGTAAGCTTAAAATCTAGATGAAATTGTATCCATTAATCTTAAGAGAAAAGATAATTGCCTTCGAATTACTTTCAGGAATATTTACTGTGACAGTTTTCTTCCAGATAGTTTAGCTTTAGTTAAATAAAATTTACTTTTATTTAAATAAAGACGGATGGGACAAGATGTTAGCCTCACTTCCTGAGATCTGTACTTTCAAGATAGTTCAAAGTAGGTCAAGGCAATCTTTCTTTATTCAGTCTAAGATATCAAAAGTCAACTCTGCTCACTTTATAACCATACATATTCAACTTTGTTCCAGGAAGAGACTTTTGATTGTAAAGGTAGGCCAGGGTTCCTGCTGCTTCAGAGTATTGTACTATAATTTTCAGATGCTAGTTTTCCACATGCGAAGAATGCATTAAACCTAATTTGAAGTGCCATATAATTTAATTAATTAATTAAATTAATTTAATTAATTCTTGTTGTTTGATCTTGCTGTGCCATATCTAAAACTCACTATATGACAGGAAATCTTTTAGAAATATATATCAGACATAATTTTGGAAGTGATTAAAATTCTGCAGCTTCACTTTAAAAGTTGCAATTATATTTTCATTACCAAACAGGGACATTGCCAGTGCAATAAAGGAACTTCTCGATACAGTAAATAATGTCTTCAAGAAATACCAATACCAGAACCGGAGGGTATGTGAATTATTTCTACTATAATGCCTTATCAGAAATATCATTACAAATATTACAAGTATCTGCAGTTTTATGCTTAGATAACATATTAACTGTAAACATCACTTAATACAAACTGGCAAATAAAGAGATGATCAGGAGGATGAATACTGATTTTTCAGGCTATGTGGATTTTTAATCAGTAATAACTGCTTTAAGGTTTAATATAATTTTTAATGTTTGTAAATAAACACTCCTAGAAGCAACTTTTCATTTTTTAAATGGTGAATTTTGCCACTGCCAATATTTACTGCATACCTATTCTCATCTTGTTCTGTGTTTATTGGCTAAAGCATAATGCTTGAGAAAAATGAAAATTTAAATTATTATTCATATAACATTTTTCAGGCACTTGAACACCAAAAGAAAGAATTTGTAAAATACTCCAAAAGTTTCAGTGACACTTTGAAAACTTATTTTAAAGATGGAAAGTAAGTATATATTCCTTTTTCAATTGATTTGGTATTTCCTGTTTTTCCTTTTAATAATTTGTACTAGAAAGAACATACTTTGCAACAAACTAATATCTTAATTGCTCCATCAGTTCCAGTTTAGCAAAGAATGAAAAAAATTGGACAGAATGTGAAATGTCCTTTTTTGACTTGGGCATCAATGGGTCTACTTAATTTTTATTTTTCCCTTGGGAATCCACAGAGTCATTGTTCTAATAATAATGATGTCTTCCTTTTCTTCACCCCTGCTAAAAACAATCTTATGGGTGGGGGGGTCACATTCCCATGGGGACTTCTAACAGACTGGGCGGTTGGGGGACTTGCACTAAAAGTGGATATGGACATCTATTGTATCTGAAGTTGTTTTCTTGTTCTTTTCAACACCCCTTTTTTGTCATCTCTCTGACACTTCTCTCTCTCCCAAGTAACATACTGGAAGGAAAGAACATTTATCACTTACTAGAGGCCCGAAGTAGTCTCTTACAGACGGCTTTGGAAATTAGGCTAAAACGGATGAAATTAGACTGATGTTACCATGTAAATATAGAGTAACACATTGTTCACTCTGACATAACATGACATAAATGGAATTTTCAAAATGGAAAAAGTCACAAAAGCATCAAGGCTGTAACTCATCTAGCAATTATTTCATATTTATGATTGCTGGGACAAAAGATTTTTAACAGTCCAAAAAAAGAAGGGGAATAATAAATGGGAATTTTTCCTTGTATATAAACAGGGATTATACATAGCAAAATGAATGACAGATTTCTATGGCTATAAAGTCCCTAGTTGATATAAATTCCTGGTGAATGTATGGACAAGTTTAGGAATATAGAACTCTTTGGATCTAAACCTGGAAAAGTGTTTCAAAGTAAGTGTGCATGCATCTGTTGGCACATCCTTAAAGGAGTTGTGGCTTTTCCTGGGCTTTAAAGAGTCACTAAGAGGTGTGGTATTACCTTCTCTTTTAGCTTCCAATCCAAAGCACTCCACATTTCTAGACAAGCCTATGTGGTGTTCTTGGGACAATGTAGAGTTTGCTATTGCCTTCTCCTGGGGATAACCCAGTGCTTCCCAAACTTTTTCCTTCATTATCCAGAACCACTTATCAGAAAGTTGTTTTTATTTAAATTGATTTAAATGGCCCCATTGTGATGGGTAATGGGTTTGTGTCTCATTACCCAACCCCCCACCCACCCCCCACTTTTACCCAATTTTGGGTAATTTACCCAGGTTTGGGAAGCACTGGTCTAACCTGTAACCCCAGACTTACATTCTCTGGGAGTCTCTTAGCCATCTATTAATGCAGTCTGACCCTGTGTTGTTTTTGTGGGAATAGACAAAGCTAACTATGTGCTTCCTCCTACTGGCTATAAGCTGAATGGAATTTCCATAATAGACAATTTATCTTCAAAATCTGATACTGCTGACCAAAGGGAGAACCATCACTCACTTCTGAGTATGATGGCTGTTGGTTAGGTACAGAGTCACTGTGTGCTTCTGAATGACAATTGTTGGAGGAAAAATCTGGAGGGGAAGACTGTCATACTTTAGTTCAGTTTTCAGATTTCCAAAGATCATCTAATTGGCCATAAGTGGTAACAGGATATTGGGCTCCCTTGGCATGATATGTTTAGTGGCAGAACATTTGCCTGGTTTGTACATAGATATGAGACCACCTGGGAACTCCAGGGCTGTTGGCAAAATCAGAATTGGGAAAAAACATTTGGGAACAAGGCAGTAGCAAACTCTATTGCTGCCAAGAATGTTACATGGATATAATTCCAAGTTCTGTATGTGTATGAAAGGCAAGCATATACAACAAGACCTATGTGTAGCTCTTTTAAAGGCAACAGAATAAAATCCATATTAGAAGCAGCTGAAGAGCAATTTTATTTCTGTGTTATGAGGAAGAAAAATCCCATCTGCTCTTTGACCTTGCTAGTGATCCTTGTAGCTAGCTGAACAATGCTATTTATTTAGCATTTATAGTAAGATATTATTCTGACTTGTTAAAATGCATCCAAGGAATTAACTTTGTTTGCCCATGGATAATTACAAAGAAAGAAAGTGAAATAGATTGTGTGGGTGCTTTTGTTTTTTTGTTTTAAATAGAATCATAGAGTTGGAAGGGGTCATTTAGTCCAAACCTCTGTTCAGGAATCCAAATTAAAGCATCCCAACTGGGCAGCTGTGTAGCATCCACCTGGACACATCCATCTCTCTAGGGAGTTGACCCATTCACTGTCAGAGTGCTCTTACTCTTAATATATAATCTAACTTTATGTAACTTAAATAAGAAATAACAGATTGTAACATACGTGACCTTTCTCGTGCTATTATATCCCTCCTCAGTCATCTTTTATGAACACTGAAATGTTAAAAATATTCTTCTTCTTCAAAGTCTCTTCATTGGGCTTAGTATCTAATCCCCTGATCATTGTTGTTATCTGTCTTTTAAAAGTATACTTTTAACATAGTACTTAAAGCGGAATCTGATCAGAGATGAATAGGATAGAATGATTATTTTCCATGATTTGAAATGTATAAGTATGTTGATGCAGTCTAAAATTGGATCTGCTGCCTTGATAGCTACATTACATTGCTGACTCATACTCAATTACAACTGTTATTCCAAAATCTTTTTCACAAGTACTGTTACCAAGCCAGTATCCCCCATCCTATATCTATGCATTCAGTTTATAGTTTCTGAATTAAGAACTCTGCATTTATCTCTATTAAATTCCATTCTGTTACATTCTTCCCGTTTCTACAACCTATCAAGATTGTTTTGAATTTTTATTGTGGTCTAGCTGTCCCAATTTTGTATCATCTATAAATTTGATAAGCATTTCTACCTCTTCATTCAAATCCTTAATGAAAATATTAAGAACCATGATTGATCTTTATGGCACACCACTTGATACCACTGTCTAATTTGTTGCAAAACCATTGATGAGCATTTCTTGAGTATGATTTTCAGCCCAGGTGTGTATCTACTTAATTGTTATGCTATCTAGCCCTCGCTTAACTAGCTTGCTAATCAGTGTATTGTGGGGTACTCTATCAAGGTGCTTTGCTGTTGACACATTATGTCTACAACAATCTATTAAGGAACTTACCCAATTAAACAAAAAATGTTTGGCAAGATTCATTGTTGAGAAATGTGTGTTAGTTTCTAACAATTATTGCATTTTTTCAAGGAGATTTACCTCTCTATGATTCGTGTTAGGATTTCTGCAGGTATCAATATCGGAGTGACTTTTCTATAACTTGCTGGATTTTCCTTTCCTCTCTTTTTGAAGGTAGTAGTCATCTGGTTCTTCGCCTTTTCTCCAGGATTTCTCAGAGATAATACTTGAATTCAGGATGAAACTTATCTCTTCCTGGAGATTCAAATTGATTCAAAATAAAGAGATAGTCCTTGACCATAGAAAAGACTGAACCCAAATAGATTTGAGTAGGGCTGCCTAATCTTTGTTACTTTTCAGCATTTTACCTTCACTGAGCAGCTGGTCTGCTGGTTTTTTTCTTTCTTTTTATTTTGAACATATTTAAAGAAGCTATTTTTTTGTTACTCTTAGTATCCTTTGCTAATCTCAGTTAATTCTGAGCTTTTGATTTCCTGATGCTAGCTCTGTAGTTCTGAGTTAACTGTACTCTTCATTCCTTTATGATGTAGATCTCTTTCCAGGTAGATTTTAAAATGAATACTCTCATTTGGCTTTTCTTTGTGTTAATTGCATTCTAACGCTAGATATAAAAGCTTAGTTCAGAGTTGTGCCTGTAGGTTATTGGATTTTATTTTTATGCTCTTTATCAACTTTTAATTTTAATTTCTGTCATTGGTTTTTCTACAGGAGAAAAAGTAGCTAATCTTGTTCAAAATATCCTATCTCCTTGGAGAAGCCCTTTGGATCCTAGCTCATTTGCAACTGTATAAATATTATAATTGTATATAATGCTTATTTTGGCTGAAAAGACAACATAGAGAACAAGCTGATGTCTCAGATGTCTCCATTCCAGCCCTTTCAAAACCTTAGCCATTTGTCACAAAAATTACAGATTTGTTATAATTATCAAACTCTGTCATAAAATTATAATTCTAAATGTAACAGAAGAGACAAGTTATGGAGTAATCATCTTCACTACAGCTAATGAATTTCTTTCATCAACTGCGTGCTACTCATAGGCCAAGTACATCCATCAGCCCAGAAAAATTGCATCTTCTTATTGCTTTAGCTAGGATGGAAATTTGCTAGATATCTTCTAAGAGTACAGAAAGCATGAGCATTTTCAGCCAGCATTGCACAAATTCTACTGGCTTAGCAGTATACTACAAGATTCTGGTTTTTACCTTCATGATCTTGAAATCACTTTTCCTGATAGACGGACATGTCTGTTGGCTCCTATTCTAGTTTGTCTGGTTTCCTCATTGAAAGTGTTTAAAATGGTGAATGTGAATGGATATTTTTATTAGATTGCAAGGTTTTGGAATAACTAGCTTTTATAAACAAGGGGAAATCCATGTCAGCTGTTTTGCATAACTAAGATCGCTTTAGCTGGAACTCTACTGATTTACAAGCAAATAGTATATATTTGTATTCAGAAATAAAGCCCATTGAATTCACTGAGCCTTACTTTAGATAAGTATAGGATTGCAACTCAGTAACTTTGTTCTATAACTACAGTATTTAGTTTTGTACTATAATTTAACTATTAGGGTTTAATAAAGGATTCACTACTTTTCTCATGTAGAAAAAAAGGTCTATAATTATTTTCAGAGTTAGATGTTAAAATATCTTTGATCAGGATTTCAGATTGTTGAGCTTGCCTGCTTTGTTTGAACATATTATCAATTATGCTTTACATTTAAGGATTTTTCTAATACAATTTGTGAATTTTTAAGAGCTATTATAATTTGTGAAATACTTCTTGTAAATTTAAGTACTGCACTCCAGAAGTAGTGGGTGATGCCAGAAGAAAACAAATTTCATTTAATTTACCTTTAATTAAAATTAAAGATAAGTTCCCTTTGAACTGATTGGGTAGAGATGGGGATTATTTCCAGATAGACATGTAGAGGATTTCATTGTAAGAATACATTGTATTTAATGTGATGGCTTTATAATCTGTACCCTGTTGCTGAAATATATCTTGTTTCTGTTTTTTTACAATAGGGCAATAAATGTGTTCGTAAGTGCCAATCGACTAATTCATCAAACTAACTTGATACTCCAGACCTTCAAAACTGTGGCCTGAAAAAAAAACTGTATATGTTGAGAGCTGTACTTTTCAATGATGGATAGGATACCTTTATATGTAAACTTTAAAGTTTTGACTGTGTAAATTATCAGTCCCAATTGAAGGGACTTAATGCAGGATTTTGAATGGGATTTATTGCCATCTTACACCATATTTTTGTAAAAACATAGCTTAATCATAATCTCACAATGAAGATTTTGCATCACTTTTTTGCTATTATCATTCTTTTCAGAATTATAAGCCAAAAGAATTTACGCCTTAATGTGTCATTATGTAACATTCCTTATAAGAACTGTAAATATTTGGTGTTCTGTTTATGACATTTTAACTTGAAAGCGAAAAACTGCAACAGGACTATGTATTTAACAATATTGGTGGCAAACATTCAATAAATAGTTTACATCTGTTTATCTGTATAATTTTATCCCATGATGGTGTCCTTGAAGCTAAAATCCACGGGGAGATATACATGTCTTCAGAGTTTATAAAGAATGATGTCCTTTTAAGAAGATAGAATCTTAGTCAGCGTCTTCAAAGATTCCTAAGCAGAAATACTCTCTAACTACTGTCTTAGAAAGCTGAACCTTTCCCTCAAAACTTGAATTTTTTTTTCAAATTATTTTTAGAGTAAATTATATTACCAAAGAACCCATCATTAGAGGTGGGGTGAACTGCAGGGCCTCTTTTGGGGAGGGTGTGATAGTATGTGTGCAGTAGTTGATAGATATTTTTATATGTACACTTATGCAGCATCACTGTCAGTGAATTTGATACCCGATGCCAGGGTACAGGGTATGTTTATTTTACCCTATACAAGCTGAGAAAATTACTCAGAATTGGAAGGGTGTGATTAAGAGATGTATTCCTGGGCTATTCAGAATCAACACAACCTCTATTAGATAGCATGACCTTGATGCACTAAGTTTAGCTACCCCAGAGATCGAGAATTTACTTTTGTTAATATAAATATTCTGGTGGGAGTATCTCTAGTGTTTGACAGTGTAACAAAAGCAAAACTGGAGTTTGCCCAAAGGAGCTCACAATCTAATGTTGATAATGGGAACCAATAAAGGCAAGAGAGATGAAGATAATAATGCAGGCTACCCGTATCACTGTGCTAGAAATTATATTTAATAAAGTATTGCAGTTATATCAATGCAACAGATCAAGTCTACTCATTTGTGCAATGGTACTGTTTAATATTTATGTTTAAAGGAATGGTTTAATATCTATGGTTTTTTATGGTAGTATAACAACCTAAATGATCATTACTGCCAGCTGTCACGGTAGGACAACTGATTTCCACCAAAAATTCATTTGTTTGTTGTAGAACTGTTATGCTAGGATCTCCTTTTTACATCTCTCTTTGTGAACAGCTTATCTACAGTATATTGTGATAATGCAGTTGCATCACTTTTTTTTCCCCCTTTCACTAGTATGACTTCTGCAAGAACAATAAGAATGATCTTTGGCAATGTCTTAGTTAAACATAGGTAATACAGCTCTTTTGTAACTGGCAAAAATGTTCAGCATCGTGTAAGCCTTTACACAAGCAAGATCATATCTGCTTTGAAGTCTGCCATTTAATATGGAAAAGGATCAGATTATCCGGAACCACCATCATGCTTCTCCTTATTTTGGTTTTCTTGTGGCTACCCAAATTCAAAGCTAATACACAGCTAACCAGCTTGCCACCAGTGGGAAGTTACAACTTCCCTTTTGCCAGCTGGATAGGATTTCACTCTATAGGTAAGTATGGTCACCAGAAGAGACAAGGTGGGCTTTTTTTTAAAAAAAAAAATCACCTATTTGGATTCATGGTGCTCCCTGAGCTTTGGGTTTTTTATAATAATAATTTTATTAAAAATTACACTGTACAGATAAAACTAATATAAAGTATAAAAATAAAAAGGAAAAAAATGCAAAGGAAAAAAAATTAAAAACAGAAAGAAAAGAAATAATTTCCCCCTTTGTCCCAGCAAGTATAAACAACTTTTAACAACTTATCACCATCTCTTAAAATACAACAAAAAAATCTCTTCATCCCATATCTCACCTCATT